ATATGAGTTTTATTTTATATATATATATATATATATATATATATATATATATATATGAAATTAAACTCATATTAGTCCACACATATATTATATAATATTGTAATTTAACCTCTTGCTTTATTTATTCTTAATTTAACCTCTTGTCCAACGTTCTCGTTTTATTTTTAATGTTTATTTTTTATATTGTTATACTTGGTTTATAGTGGGCCAAAATATTGATGACATTGTTGCAGACAACCTACGTGTAAATGAAGGGGAGAGAGCCATCTTGCCTTGCTTCTTCTCGCCAACCGACGCCGATATCGGCAAGTGGTATTGGAAGACGAATGGAAGTGTCATTATAAGATCAAGCGACCCACAAGATCCAAACTCGAGGTATTCACTGGGTGACGCTACGTTCGGGAATGTTAGCTTGGTTATTAAAGATGTATTGCGATGGGACAAGGGAATATATACATGTGGAGTGAACCAGTCTACAGGATCAACCGATGACTGTAAACTAATAGTAAACTGTAAGTGACTGACTGCTATCGGCATTAATACGGTCATTTAATTTCGCCGAGGATATCGGCATTCCGCAGTTTGGGAAAAGCTGCTGTTTTCTATCGACACTGCCACAGAATAATAATATTAATAATGATAATAATGATATTAATATATTATTACTATTATTAATAATTTTATTGATGTAAATGTCGGAAAAACGCCAAACACCTTTGCAATTATTTAAAAAGTTTATATTGCCTCAGTTCTGCCTTGGATAGTTTTTCCAACTCCATGGTGCTAGTCACTGATAGTCATTTTACTCTCACCTCTGTACTTAGACTGTAGAGGAGTATCATATTATTGAGTGTTGTTTTGTAACAATGTATTTGCTTGTTCAAAGAACAACTATTCCATTTGATATAATGGGCTTCCTTACTTTTAATTGATAACTTGTGTTTGCATTATGAATAATCCAAAACATGTTTTGTTACAATATTGTTTACTTAATACAAACTTAAATTGTAAATAACATTAAATAATAATATTTGAATAATAAATAATAATTAAAAGAAATATCATTTATTATTCTGATATTTATTTCAGTTGTATCTATTATTCTATTATCGCTTTTATTATGTGCATGGTAATTGTCAAGTACGGTACCCTTTCTAAAACCACCGGCTGAGCAGAAATGCTAAGGGTTACAGTCTCCTGAAACTTTTTAGGTTGTTTTGTTATCTAATTTTGTACTCTATTTTGTTTATATTGATAATTTTGAAATAAATTCCTTAATTCCAACCCGATTACTCTTATGGTTTTCATCGACAGATCTTGATAATCCTAAAATGCAGGCACTAACCAACACACGTGTCCCTGAAGGCAGTCTAGTGCCTATGTCATGTAAAACAAACTCGTCCTATCCGGAAGTGAACATGATCACGTGGTTTCATGAGAGTAACATCATAGACAGGGATTCCGGCAAATACAATTTCGAAGACGAAATAGACGTATTACAGATACAAGAATTTGATCAAAGTGACGAAGGAAACTACAGTTGTAGAGTTGAAAACGAATTCTTTGCTGGGATAAACGGGAAATACAGCAATTCAATTATATTGAGTCTTCGGAAAGGTAGGACAAAACAGGCATTGGACACACACACACACACCCCTCACTACACACATACGTTATGTATCATTATTGGTATAGTTTCTATTTTCCAAGGCTTACTTCATCATATTGTTATATTTCATATTTTGTGTTATATTATATTATTCTTTTT